AGCAGACAGCAATGTAAAAGGCAAGCGTGCTCATCGCGCGACCCGCATCTCCTGGTTCTTCGCTGTCACTCCCGCATCGTCGCATCGCGTCGTAGCGGATCGACATCATTTTTTATAGAGTCGTCTCGATCTTTTTACGTGAACTGCGGGTTCGAAAAGGGTCCTCTCTGGCGGATGGTTCACATAAATTTTCATTTCGAGAAGACGCACTATAATTTACGGTCCGTTTTTGGGAATGTAAGAAGTGAAATGCAGTAGTTCCAATTGAAAACGTACTCTAATCATCTCCAACCGCGCCACATACACATGACTTAGGTTCAGTTCCACCAATGTACCAGTCAATTTATTCCTTATCTTTTTCTAATTCTTAGAAAATTTAATTAAAAAAAGATAAATAGTAAGTTAAATCAAGATTAAAGTTAATCTTATATTGATGAATCGGGCCTCAGAGTGAATTAATTGTTCTCTTAATTTTGAAAGATATTGTATAATAATATGTGTAAATTAAGCAATGCGAAACAGTTCCACGCTCGCGACGATTATGCGGATCGCCCACCGTGAAACTTTTCTACCGCGCGCAATTACTCCAGCAAGCTTCGACTCGAGTCTCGAGTCTGTGCCGCGTAATTAACTCTTGACTCTTGACGAGCGGCCTGCGATAATACCGCTTCGCTGTAAAAGAGCTTAATTCGAGGAGTTGCATTCAAGTTTAAATTCGCGAGACGAGTGCGCGTTGCGTCGATATTTCCCGTGTGTAAAGTCCGCCTTAAGGGACAGCCACGCGTTATCATCCTGGGTAGTCGGGTCGAGGTGAGGGTGGGCTGCATAAATTCGGAGGCTGCAATTGGCGCTCGAATACTTTTACAATTCAAATTATGGAAATCCCGTGGGTGTACGCGCTAACCGGCGTAGCTGGCGACCGTCGCCATCGTCGCCGCGTGTACATCGAGAGCACGAGCGGATTTATTCCTCGGAACACCCGGAACACGGACCACGTTTGGCCGAGTTCAAGCCCTTCTCCTCGTTCTGCTCTTCTGTCTCTGTCTCTGAGACAGACTGGGGACCGATTAGGGTGAAGAGGGCGGGATCGAAGGGAGAGAGAAAGATATCCTCTCGCGCGCTCGGGATCCGCATATAGTGCTGCCGCACGATAAAGGGATATCCCGATTGCCGATTCTAATTCTATAATTCCACGCTTAAGCCCGACTTGCACACATCCCCACTACGCCTGTGTGCGTGCATGTACACAGTGCGTCTTGTAGCGCGCGTTTTATCTAAATCTGTGTCATGCGCGGCTCCACTTCATCCCCTTTAATGCTCGTTGCGAGTCGCAGTGCGCTCTTGCATGCAACCAAAGAGGTACTTAAAAAAAAAAAAAAAGAAAAAAACGACGGCCGGTTCTGAATGAAACGTATGTACTTGGGGTAGGATGGAAATTGTATTCAAGGAAAGAGAAAAAGAGGAGAGAAGGAGGCTATAGGATACTTCAACATTGGTACTTGTATTTCGAAAAAATGATGAAAAAAATAACGAAAAAACGATAACTGCCCATTGTCTAAAGAATCAACGGTTTTTCCATGCTGACGTTTAATTCATTCCGCACTTTATTGATGATTTCAAACTAATTTCATTTTATTTAAATGTTGACGATAAAAGATTTATAAATATTCATAAATATTAAAACATATAAATATATATCGCTGCGTCCCAGAAAAGTGACATCTCAAAATGAACTTTGTAATAGAGCATTTTTATAACAAACTGAACAAAATTTCAGTTAGTAAATGCAGTTTCAATAATTTTTTTTTCTATGTTATATTTTTAATTATAATGTATTATTAAAAAGTAATAAATAATAATTGGACAATAAGAATATTTAATTATTAATGACTCCTTTACTTGACAATTAGTAATAATAACAATATGAGAAGGGCTATAGAAGTCAGCGCTAGACCTTTAATTTGCGACGACTACCATATCATATTTTATTATATTGACGATGTTTTAAAGTATACGATTGCAGCAGTTATGCGATGAGTGGTTTTTATTGTCAAAAAGTATATTTTCAGATATACATTTTCTCAAGGCATTAGAATTAATTCTTGATAATATCAATTTAGTGGGACTCTCACGATCTTTCATCCACTCAGCTATGAAACTCTGTGGAAATAATAAGATAGGAAACAAGACCGTTTATGTTAAATAACATTACTTTAAAATCCGAAGCGCCACTATAGTCTGAGTATTGAGATGTTGAACTAATATATATATGTTCAAATAAATGAATTAATTTCAGAAATGATAATTACGTGCCGATATGGTTGTCGGCATTAAACGCAATTGATCTGAAATATTAATAATCCCTCCAAATTAAGCTTAAAAAACTTATTAATCCAAATTAATCTTAATAAACTTATTGCGAAAAATATTGTTATATATCTGTGGAAATACTAAGATGTCGAGGAAGGATGATACTCATTGCATATTTGTCTACAATTGATCGGTTTTTTTTACGATACGTGCGGAAGATTATATGTAATTATTAGTTTTATGCTGATAATGACTCAAAGTGAAGCTGAAACGTACATTTGTTAAATTAAATTGTTAAAAATTTGCGCAATTGAGATTTAGCGCTGACTCCTATATATAGCCCTTCTCATATTGTTATTATTTAATAATAATTTTAGTTATTTTAGTCTAAAGGCTTAGGACGCTCGTACGGAATGCAAGAGATTCAGGCTCGATTCCGAGCCAAGGTAATATTTTTCATAATAAGAATTAATTATTTACAGATTTTAATATTATTAAGATCGTTTCGAAGATGCAAATAAGCAATAAAAAATTTGTTAAATTGCTAGTCAATTTAACTCGTGATATTATTGCGGTACAGAGTTCGGTTTTATTTCAAATAAATTTATTTAAAATATATATTTTAAATAAAGAAAAAATTAAAAAGTTATTTGGTATTTATTATTTTATATAATTTCTTCTGATCTATTTCTTATTTAATATTTTGAATAAGTTTTTGGAACTTATTTTATATTTTTTATTTAAAATAAGTTGTATCAGTTTTTTATTGATTTTATATTTTTAATAATTTTTTGGAATTTATTTTATATTTTTTATTTTAAATAAATATATTGTTAGTTATGTTATCGACTTGTTGGAAAAAAAAGTGACGGTGCGTACTAAAGTTGGGTGGCGCGGTGCTTCCATTTACTTCTATTCTCGTGACTCGCGAATTAGCGGGAATATCTCGAATACACAAGTGTTTTGTTTTATTATTCTGTGCTTCAACATTCGGATGTTCTTATATCTTCTTATACTTCTTGAAGCAACTCGTCTATTCTATCCTTCGTTTAGTCATTTCTCGTTTGCGTTTATACATGTACGTTGTATGTAATCTTATTACTTTTTAATGTTTACATCCTTTAATTTTGAGGTTATTTACTTGTGCATAATTGGTCATAAGTAATGTGAACTGCTGAATAATGCCGGAAAACGAAAACGAACAAGTTTCAGAAGAGATTATTTTGAAAAAAATCTCTAAAAGTCTACCGATAATTTTAAATGGAAAGTTTTTTTTCCATAAAAAAGATCATTGACAACAATAACTTAATAGCAAAATGTGCAATATGTAATCGTGATATTAAACGGCGACTAGATTCTACGACAAATTTCTTCGTACTTTTTAAAGGTAACTATTAATTAATAATTAATATTTAATATAATTATAATAGTACCACTAATTGCAGTAACCGCATATTCCGATATTAGTATCCCGATATTAATATTGTAAATAATATTAATCAATAATTATTTATTTATTTTCATTTCAGTCTAAAGATCATTCTGATTCTTTCAAAGAATATAACTAATATAAAGAAGAAATCTACGTGCATCCAAAAAAAAGGCCTCTTATTGATGTGGAAAATTTTGAAAAAAAAAAAAAGAAATATTTTAAAGTTTCAGAATCCTTTAAACAAAATAATCAATTGTTGATAAACACACTTATTATAAAATTCACAGTCGAGACAATGTCTCCTCTGAGATCATACAGCATTTAAGAATCTCCTTAAAGGTATTAAAATTACAATCTATATTTAATATTTGATGTAAATAATTATATTTTCCATTTCTATTTTAACGAAATGATTCCATTGAATAATTTACTTTTGACGTAGAAATACTAGGAATAAAATGCAAAATACAATAACATGACTTCGAAAACTCTGAGGAATAAAATCTATAATATGCATTTAAAAATAGTGAACAATCTTACTGTAACTATTGTCAGATGCTGCATATGTGTGTTTATCTGTTGATATTTGGTCATGTGGACACCGCAGTTATCTTGACGTTACAGTGGGTATGTATAAAATATATTCACATATATTATGATTGTTATAATTTATTTTATAACTGTTATAAGCTTCTATTTCTTTTAATGTCACATATATAATATCAAATATATCATGTTATTCATATATCATGTTAATTCTAAATGGGAAATGCAAGCATTCTTAATTATATTTTGTATTATTACTTTACTTTGTATAATTATTTGTTAGTTTATTTTATTACATATCAATCCTATGTTACAAAATGTCAATGTTTTATTCGATCATTCAGGTCAGAATACTTGGAATTCGTAATCAGATCTTGTATCTTGAAATATAAGTAATATTTATTTTTATTATTGTTTTGAAATAATAGAATTAATAGAAATAACAGAAATATAATAGAAATAATAGAATTACAGAAAAAAGTCTTACTTTATGAGACTTGATTATGATTTTCAGCTTTAGATATTCAAAGAATATTGCAATTAATCAATTATTGTGTAATCTGCTACTAGAAATTTCATATTTACAGATAAATGAGCAACTGAAAAGGCAAAATGCTGTGCTGGCATGTAAAAGATTCAAGGGTAATCACACTCACGATAAAATCACTGAATTTGTGTTAAAAATCTGCAATGATTTTAAAATTGATCGGTCGAAAATACTAAAGATAGTTATGGATAATGCACGAAATGAGTAAAGCTTTTACTAATTTTGAATATTCAAATTCTTTATACTCTGTTGGCACAAATATAAGTAAGTTATCTTTGCAATTATGCCAATTATAGATTAGTTTTGTAATAGATAATAGAATAAATTTGCTTCAGTCTTACTATCAAAAAATGAAACATTTTATTTATTGTCTATTTATCTTATTGTTAGTCTATATCGTTATATTAATTATATGTTAAAAGCGAAAATTAATTAACTCACAATTAAAAATATTACTATTTAGTGCTTTATAATATTCAAAGAAGATTAAAAAGAAGATTAAAATACTTTTGATTTATTTAATCAACAAACTGTCCATTATATGTTTAGCTTCTACTAACAATTCAAGCACAAATCGAAATGATTCAAATTCAAATGACACTGATTCTAAAAACTCTGAAGATGAAGATGAAGAATGTCTCAAAATAATTGAAATTGATTTAAATGAAAGCATAATGAATAACGCTGTTGTATGTCATCAACGATGCGTTTCTTACAGTTTAATCTTATCGCTTTCACTGACGCTGCAGAAACATTTAAGGAGAAAAAAGGTAATAAAACTATCCGAATTTATCAATCTGCATTAGAGGAATGCAAAGCCATGGAACAGAACGTCAAGATCATCAAAATGCTCTGAAATTTACGAAAAGATTATTCAAAAAGCTCCAATGTCACCATGTGTTACTCGGTGGAATTCTACTTATGATTATTTTTTAAATTTAATGAAAGTTAAAATTAAGTTAAATAGAAGTAACCGAAGCATTTGTCTAATTTTAAAGCATTTGTCTAATTTTTCGACTGAACTCGAATTTTTAAACGAATATTTGCAATATCATCAGCCAATTGCTGAAGCTCTGGATAAGTTGCAAAGTGAAAATAACTTTTTTTACGGCGAATTAATTCCAGTTTTGCTAAGAACAATAGAAAACGTTCAAAAACTACAGAATATATCATTAAAATATACTTCCGGTCTTGTAAGCGTACTGTAATATGGAAAAAAGATTTAATAATTTTATACATTTTCAAATCGAAACCAACAATGCTATATTCAGCAGCTGTTTCTCATCCCTATTTTAAACTGCGATGGATACCAAAAAAGAAAAAAAATTACATACAGAATCTGTTTTTCTTAGAGGCAGAAAAACATAATAAATACATCAATATTGCCGATAATACCAATGTTAATCTATCAGTTCTACCACTACTCGGAATGATTTTGTTATCAGAAATTTTTTTTCCTTTCAACTGAAGACGATAAAGATATTAACAAATTGAAAATAAACTATGCAATTAGAATATATGAAATATTTTCAAGATAAAGATGTCACTGCGCAATGTTTGTGGATTGCTATCCAATCGTAAATGAATCATTGATGTTTATTAAGTTTAACACGCCTTTACCATCGTCTGCACAGGTGGAAAGACTATTTTCCTATGGCGGTCTTATAATGAGACCGAACCGAAGGAGCATATAGGATGCCAATTTTGAGAGGATTTAATTAAAACTAATAAATTGTATTTGTATTAAATATTACTGATATTGAAGTATTGAAGAACTTCATACATATAAACTTAATAATTTTAAAACATATAAAAAGAAGACTATAAAAAACCACAGCACAAGTTATATAATAGTTTGTGATATTTAATTATTATTACATTAATTAAAACATTAAACGTTTCGGCCACAATCTGACCATCTTCAGTAATTCAATAATATTCTTAAAACGCAAAGTTACATCTAGTTGATTTAATGACAACACCCGACTGTTGACATTAAATTCAACAGTCAGGTGTTGTAATTAAATAAACGTGTTCTTTTCTATGTGAAGATGTTTCATACAATAATATTACAACGCCAATTGTCACATCACGAAAAGTGTAAAACAATAATTTCCAGATTCTAATTTAAAATAAATTTGTATATCATTAATATCTTCTAGTCGGAATATAAAGAAATAGAATCGTTACCTGTTTACAGCAAAAAAATTAAACGATGTCAATCTCAAGTACCTCTTTTGCACAATTAGAATTTTGTCGTGACATTATGTGTTGTTATTTGTCATATCATGTATTTTATCACTATTTTATAAATAGTGCGCAACTAAGTTCCTGCTGTTTGTCAACAGATGGCTCCAGCAGTAAGTGCTGGTCGATTCTGACATAACCTAAACGTCATGAACCAAGCTTAGACATATGGTAAACAAACCGCTTTGAAACATTAGTGATTTTGTTTTTACGTCATATTCTTTTGGTTGTGTGAAAATGTCTGATTTTGTGCCAAATAATCGTCATATGCGGGAAGTATTGATTTTCTTCTTTCATTCGAAGAAAACGGCAGCTGAAGCGCATAGAGAGCTCCAAAAAGTTTACGGAGATGCTGCTCTAAGTGAAACAACGTGCCGAGATTGGTTCCGTCGCTTCAAACGGTGATTTCGATGTTGACGACCGTCCGCGTGAAGGAAGGCCAAAAACCTTCGAAAACGCTGAATTGGAGGCATTGCTCGATGAGGATCCGTGCCAAACGCAAGAAGAGCTTGCTTCAGTATTAGGAGTTACCCACCAAGCCATTTCCAAGCGATTGCATGCGTTGGGAATGATTCAGAAGCAAGGAACTTGGGTTCCTTATGAGTTGAAGCCAAGGGACGTTGAGCGTCGTTTTTTCGTCTGTGAACAACTGCTCCAGCGACAAAAAAGGAAGGGTTTTCTTCATTGCATCGTGACGGGTGATGAAAAATGGATTCATTACAGCAACCCAAAGAGAAGAAAGTCATGGGGGCTGCCCGGTCATGCTTCTACGTCGACGCCAGAGGTATTAATAAGCAAAGTGACACGGAAGGTTTGCTGATGTTTATCTTCCTTTTCTTAAGAAGGATCTCTCTTTCTTTTCATAAATAATTCTAGAACTTTCTAAACTGTTGACTCATATATATTAGGTGCGCAACTAAGTTCTCGCTGTTATTTTGATGAAAATGCAACTTTATTGTGAAAAAATGGCTTGGAAATGGCTTGGTG